TGAACCGCTGACCTGCTGATCTAGCAGTAGCCTGCAGTGCTGCATTTTAACCACTGCGCCACCTTGGCTCTTGAAGAGAATAAAGAGAATTAAAGAGAATAGCATTCACTAGGATGTAATTATCTAGATACTGGCCTCATGTGTTTGTGAAATGATGACTATAAGACTGACTAACCCACACACCCACACACCCACACAACTTCATAAACGCATGGCACAATGTAGCAGAGCAAACATATCAGGACTAGATTCAGCAGCCCATCTGCATTTAAAAGGCACAGGCCACTCTTTTGAAGACGACAAACTCCATATTTTGGGCAGAGAGGATCGCTGGTTTGAAAGAGGGGTCAAAGAGGCCATCTATGTTAACACTGAACAGCCCTCTCTCAACAGAGACATCATCTATCTCCAATCTAAAACGCTGTCCTTACAACAGTTCCAAGAAGGCTCCATACAAGGGGTGGGTTCCTGAACACATTAGTACCAGTTCACTGCACACACGCTTTGCGGTGCAAATTTGACTAAAAATTGCTCTGCACATGCGCAGAACCATACCAGCAATGGTAGAGAACCGGTTCTGTGACCCAGGCCTGAATTCTACTACCAGTTTGGCCAAACTGGGCTGAACCGGCAGCAACCCACCTCTGCTCCATACCCATTTGCACCACTCAGGTGACCCTGAGGACACAGATAAATCTCCAGATGACCTTAACAATCCGATCCGCTAAAAGAATGCAAATGTCCAGCTGTCTGCAAGGAGTATAAATCCTTCCATCCCCCACCATCCAGTCAGGCTGAAGAAGCTTCTTGGATGAGAAGCGAAACATCTTCAATGAAAAATCAGAAAGTCCAGTTGTCTCTTGAAAAAAGCTCCTTTCGGACAACCATAACCTGGATGACTGAGAATCCTCACAGACGTCTGTCTGCATAGGTTAGATGTATATAACCTATTCAAAACCTATATATGTCTTAAGTGGAGTCACTTCCCTTTTCTCTCCTTTCTTTTTGGTTCTTTCAACTCTCCACTGTTTCAGGACCTCAGTATCATCCCAGCATTGCCAACCTTATTCTATCTATGAATATTGTATCTAGATCTGCTTGTTGTTATGGGTTGAATGCATACACAGGAAACCCTTAACTTACGATCACAATTGAGCCCCATATTTCAGTTGCTAAGAAACATTTGCTAAGTGAGTTTGCCCCATTTTGCAACCCTTCCTGTCACAGTTTTTAAGTGAATCACTGCAGTTGTTAAGGTAATAACCTGCTTTGCCACCTTCTGACAAACAAAGTCAATGGGGGAGCCAGATTCACTTAACAACCAGGTTATTACCTTAACAACTGCAGTGATTCACTTAAAAACTGTGACAGGAAGGGTTGCAAAATGGGGCAAACTCACTTAGCAACCTTGAGCCGGTGAGATTTGAACCGCCGAACTGCAGATAGCAGTCAGCTGAAGTGGCCTGCGTGATTGAAATTCAGATGCTTGGTAATTAACCCATATTTATGAAGACTGCAAGCCCATGAGATTGCAGTCTTCATAAATATGAGTTAATTACCAAGCATCTGAATTTCAATCACGTGATCCACGGTCATAAGTGTGAAAACTGGTCATAAGTCACTTCTTTTCAGCGCTGTTGTAACTTTGAACGGTTTGTTCAAATGAACTGTTGTAAGTTGAGAACTACCTGTATGTATTTTACTTTATTTAAAGCCTCTATACAGCCTGTATTTTTTTTAGAGCTGAGGTGGCACAGTGGTTAGAGTGCAGTACTGCAGGCCACTTCAGCTGACTGCTATCTGCAGTTCGGCGGTTCAAATCTCACCGGCTCAAGGTTGACTCAGCCTTCCATCCTTCCGAGGTGGGTGAAATGAGGACCCAGACTGTGGGGGCAATATGCTGACTCTGTAAACCGCTTAGAGAGGGCTGAAAGCCCTATGAAGCGGTATATAAGTCTAACTGCTATTGCTATTGCTATTAATTTGTGTCCAGGACCGTTCGGCATCACTGGCTTTGCTTTCTTCCTTCATGCAGGAGGTAACAGTTTCTAGACTGAGATAGATAGAAACAGATGGTAACAGAAACAAATCTGAGAAAAAAAATAAGAATAATGATCATTGATTGTCCTGAGAACTATCTAAAAAAGGGAGGAAGTGGGAAAGCAATTCTTTTGTCCTCTGAAGTTCTTTAGGGGAGGAATCACTTAGAGCAGTGGCCCCCGGCCTTTTGGACTTCCGAGACCAGTTCTGTGGGGAGAGCTTTTTCCGCGGACTGGAGAGGGCGTAGTTTCGTGTGCTTGATGCTTCACTTGTTTGTGTGGACCGATTTCTAGTATGCCGTGGACCATTGCTGGTCCATGGACCGGGGGTTGGGAACCCTTGACTTAGAGTAAGTCATGGAATTCAGGCGCATATCCTGCACCCTTCAGTTGCACCTTATACATTCATACTGACATGGCCAACACACTTTATAAGGAGAAATTGGACAACCTTGGAGAAGCTGTCCGTCCTTACTATTTCAGCTTTATTTTCTAAAGCACGTTACCATTATGCAAGTTATTACTACTGCATCAGGCATCATGAAGACATTTTCCCCCTATTGGGGTGTTCTCCAAGTTTTGGACTTCAACTGGCTGAGCAAAACAAAAGTTGAATCTGACAGATCTGGATGACAAGAATTTGGAGAAAGGAAATACAGGTAGTCCTTGACTTAGGCCGTAATTGAGCTCAGAATTACGATTGTAAGCCATGCTGGTTGTTAAGCGGGTCGCCACATAACTGCTCCCAATTTACAATCTTTTTTTACTTTCATTAAGCAAACACCACAGTTATTAAGCGAATCCATTGTCTCCAATGGGTATTTTTGCCGGAAACTGTACGTAAATGCTAGTTTCCAGCAAAAAATGCAAAGTGAGGTCATGTGACCTCAGGATGCTGCAAATGGCTGTAAATATGGGCAAGTTGCTGAGTGCCCGAAATATGATCACATGACCATGGGCGATGCAGGTGGCTGTCAGGGCTTTGAATTCGAGTCATAAGTAGCTCTGGTGAGGTCTGTTGTGATTTCAAACTATGACTAAGTAACCTCTTTGTGGAGACGAGAAATAGTTGTCAACCCTGAAGTGAACCTGGCTGAAGCCATCTTGGAGGCTTCAGAGTTGCCACACAACAGAGGGAGGGGGAAATATTAGATGGGAGTTTGATAGCAAAAACAATATAGTTTTCCTGTGGGAACCAAGGACATTCTCACAGGTGGCTGGCCAGAGGAGGAGCGAAGTAACCAAGCAACCGACCAGATTGGATAGCATGGCCAGTGACTTGGGGGAAAAGGGAAAACTTTTACTTTTAATTAGGTGAAAGTCATGGAACTTTAGAGTCGGATTTCATCAGTTTCTGCCAATATGATGTATCCAATAAACTGTTCTTTGAGGTATCTACCTGCCTCAGAGTTCTCCTTTCTATGGGTATATTACTTGTAACGCTGACAATAGTATTCAGCCTGATAATCAAAGAAATTCTATAAAGAAAGACACATTAAGGAAAAAGATATTCCAAACAATTCTAAATTCATGCAGGAAGTATCACAACCCCTAAACAAACAATCACGACGAGCAATGCAATGTCATTAGCAATTAGTAATGTTGGAGGCAAGATGCATTTTGAAACAGGTACAGAGGATTCAATGGTATACTTGAGAAATATTCCAGATGTAGATAACAGCCAGCACTATTTTGTAGGTGCTCCATTACAATCCTTCTTTAAAGAAGGCTAGGTTCACAATTAAAGGTAGCACATAAAGGCAAATCCCTACGGATGACAAGCCACGCGAGGGCAATCAGGCACCTTTGGG